GTCAGCAGATCTCGGGGGCCAAGCTGGCGGTTGGAGCCGGGGAGGAGGTTGAGTGTCTGTAATGTATATCAGTCGAATATACATATTCTTGTGGGTTTGTTTGATAAACTATGTTGCTCACAAGAGAGCAAGTGAAATTATCAGAAGAGTCGCTGTCTTGCCTGCCGTCAACAGCCTGAGTCCTCCGGCCCCAGGGGGCACTTAGTTAGATGTGTGGCATTCAGTCAGAATGTCGCACGCTGAAGGGCTGAATGCCAAAGCTTGAGTGGAATTTGGTGTCTTCGATAGGTGTCTATTCTGTGTACAAATTCATCGTGTACAGAATAGTGCGCGTGTTCGGAATACGGGCGTAATGTCTGGTATGACAGATCAGTGCTAGCAGTGGATAATAGACGCCATAAGGGCCAAGACTTTGCCATGGTAACCCATAATGAGATAATGTGTAGCGGGATGAAGTAGGGAGTAGGTGGTGGATTAAGAGGATAGCAGTGAGTCGATCAGAAAACGACCAATTCTGTTGCGCAGGTGTTGTTCGATGGATTTTGTCTGGACAAGTAGGGTATCCTATGTAAGTTCTTATGCTTATAGCGCTCACTGTGGCTCATCTGTACTTGCACCTGGTGAGAACATGACATGCTCATATTATCCAGCTAACAATTGTGAGTATTACTAACTCATTTTCTTTTAATACTTTTAACACTCTGTCATCATAAATATAATGAATATTTAACTCAGAGGCAAACACAAGTGATTGAAATGTTTCAATGCATTCTTGTCCCCTGTGGCAGGGAACTAGCATGACTATTGACACTTCCTTTGAAGGTTGAGCTGTCATTTGAGCATTGCTTTCTTAAGCAATAATTGAAACATATAATGAAACAAAGCAAGATGCGAATATTCTGGTCCCGGAATAGGTGCAACTGGAGATCTCCAAAAGTCTGGGTGCCTGAGGCATCCTCTGAAGCTCCACTGTCCATCCCGTTCTATCTTGCTCCTCAGCTCACCCTTTCTAAGTGTGCGATTCTAATTTGGAGAGGTGCTGTGCCTCTCACGGAGGGTGTGCTGCGCGTGGAAGTAGCGCTTTTGTGAACCTGTGTGCTAGACGAATGTTGTGTTCCCCTCAAATTCATATGTAAATCCTCATCCGCAGTGTGATGGTGTTGAAGTGAGGTCTTTGGAGTTTGGTTTCCATGAGAGCAGAGCCTCAGATGAGATTAGTGCCCATGTCACACACGACCCGAGAGCTCCCTTCTCTCATTACCGTGGAAGGACACAGCAAGGAGAAAGTCGTTAGAAAGAACAGGCCTTCACTGGACACTCAAAACTGCTGGTGCCTTTCTATCGTTGACTTCCCAGCCTCCAGAGCTATGGAAATAAATTCTGTTCTTTAATAAGCCACAACTTTGTGGTAGTGTTGTTAGAGCAGCCTGAATGGATGAAGCACTTGGGGACCAAGAGTTCTGAAGAGTTGACAAGAGAATAGTCCAGAACAGGATGTGAATAGCTCTGATAGCCCATAAAAGAGAGATATCAAGCCACCAAAAATCCAGTTCAGTGATTTGTCAAAAGTAGGTGGTCTCAGTACCTACCTTACACTCTAAAGATCACCAGAAGTGTTCATGTTAAGACTCCATGAGTTTTCATCATGCGGACCATTATTTAAAACCACTGAGGTTACTCACCTGGCTGCTGGATAATGGCTTGAGTAAACAGCAATAGTCGAAAGCTGAGATCCAGAGATAGGATTGTCTCCCTGTGAAGCGACACGCTATTCCTCAGTCTTCGGCAGAGTTCTACAGTTGAGGTAGGACTCCTAGGTCTGGCAAAGTGTTTACATAATTACACAATTAATAGAAGACCTTGCAAAATTTATCCCTGTAATCTAGAATATATTTTCATGCGTTACTGAATATACCGCTGGTTTTTGGGTTGGCGTGCTCTATGTTTGTGGGGACTGGGGAACGGAAGGGCTAAACTTCTCTCACTGGAGTACTAATGAACTCATCCACAGTTATCCCTCTTAATATCTTTTTCTGTTAGCAAATCCAGAGTTAAGGAGGTGGGGGTAGGGGAGAGGGGGTTTCAGTTGTTCTCACTCTGGAATAAGATAGATCTTCGCATTGTCATACCACTGGGAACTGGGGGACGAGAGAGGATTAGGGGAAGGTTCGCCCTGACGAGACTGCTGTGAGTCTTCTAGGCTGCCACAGCATAGTCCAACAGACTGGGGGCGAGACACACGATGTTTATTTTTCTCCACAGTGCTCGAGGCTGAAGTTGGCAGGAAAGGGTGTCACAGGGCTGGCTCTGTCTGGAGCGCATCTCTCCTTGGCTTGCAGCAGCCTCTATCTCCTGTCTCCCACCTGTCCTTCACCTGTCTGTGTCCTAATCCCTTCCTCTCTCTTCAAGGATCAGTCACTGTTGAGATTCGGGCCTGGCCCCATGTGACATCATTTATTTTATTGCCTCTTCAAATGCGCCTATCTCAAAACATTATGGAGTTGGGCTTAAACTTCAGGTACAAATTTGGGGTTGGGACACAAATTCAGGTCTAAAAGGCCTGAGCTCCTGGTTTTGTATGCGTAATACGACTGAATGGAACAGCCCACTCTTTGACTACTAAGGACACAGACAAGAGTGTCACATTGTAGTATGGTTGGGTGAGGTTCAGAGGGCAATGTTTTTTTTAGAGATGCGCGCGAAGGCGGAGCCTAGTGATGTTTTGGTGGTGTGTTGGGTGTGTGTGGTGGTGGTGGGTGTTTGCTTCCTTCTGATGTCTCACTCAAAGCCAGGCGTGTGCCCCTTGCTTGTCAGATTCTCTATTTTGTCTGAATAGTTAGTGTAGCTGCGGGTGTTTGTGTTTTGTGTGTGTGGTCCTCGTGCACAGGGGGGCGTGACTAGAGAGAGTCAGTCTGACTCACGGGGTGTGAACTACGACGGGATGCATCTCTGAGATCCCCGTGGAGAAGGTAGCGTCTCGTGCCGGGCCGCGTTGAGCGAGCCGAGAGCAGAGGCTTTTATGGTGCCAGGTGCCAGCGGATTTTCCGATTACTGAGTCGTGAAGCACACGCAGTTCGCTGCCGCTCTCGCACGCTGATTAATCTGACTCCTTCAGAGTCAGACTCTGCCGTTACCTCCAGAATTTGGGAGAGCAATTACTTCACAGAGGATCCGGATGCTATCCAGGCAGATGAGAGACCATTAGCTACGCTCTCAGCTCTTAATTGGAGAGCTTAAAAAAATATATTACTAATATATCTCT